TTATTCAGTGAGTATATTGCGGATAAAGTGTACACGCAGGTAGTTACTCATGATCAGGATGGGGGTTTAGGTTAAACAAACGGAGGCTACTGATTGGCCGCTGTTTGTACGGTCGCTGCACACGGAGTTGTACGGCACACCTCCCAATCCTGTCATACAGGCATGCGATGACACACAAAGCGATAACGTGTCCCACAAAGCCTTACCGAAAAGGCGATTACGAAGTTTATAATCTATGATAATTCAAATATAATATTGAGGAAATATTATTAAAGTTTAAATAATTTGATCACTGAATGAGTTATAAAGGCCTTCAATAATTTACGTTTAGTCTTTTTTAAGGTTTAAGCGTTTATTTAAAAGATTTTTGAATGATCAGGGACCAACACAGTTATTGAGCTTGGAAATCGGCTATTTGAGTGCAGGGATTGCTCAAATTGATCGAAAGATGACAATATCTGCTCTATCCCGTAAAAACGTCCGCGCAGTTATGGAGACTGAAATGAACGCCTACCTACCACTAGGATTTAAAGCAGAAGTTCCTGTTTTATTTATTCTTCAGGCGTCACTTTTCGCTTTATATTTTGACATTGCAACTTGCAGTAGAGTGAAATAACTTTGCCATTTCCATGGTGAAGGGTGACCGAAATCGACTTTCATTCAAGTCTAAAAAGGGATAAAGTGAAGGACACAGAAGAAGATATTTCTTCATTCCATATTTAGAATCGAGTTATAGAGTTGTTACTCACTTTTCAATTCACTGCTTCACTTTGATGAATATAAAGGGCCAGATTTTTCAAACTCGGATTCCTTTAACAACTCAATTGTTAATTGTTCCACTGATAGCTAAGAATGTTTCGAATAAACACTATATTTGTTTTCTTAAACGAAACTAAATTAAAGGTTTTAGATAAAAGTTAGTTTTTTCAGGCAGACTTCATTAAGGACCTTGTGTCTTGACATCGGTGCATTAAAAAACTAAGTTTTTTACTTTCAGTTGACAAAATTAACAGTACACAATTCTTAATTATTTGAAAATCACTAAGGGAGATAAGTAGTCGATAAAAGTTGATATTCATTCGTTGATTATTCCACATGGAAAAGATCGATGGCCCTAACGGCATGTCGAGTCAGATACTACTTAGATTCAGAAAGTAAATCTGAGTTTTCTCTAAAACATTCGTAACCATCGCACCAAGATACGAAGTTTGCTGTAAGAAATGGAAGATTTACTAATGAGAATTATTTTTTAATGGACACGAAAAGAGAATTGACCATAACCTAATATTGAAACCATAAGCATAAACGACATCAAGTTTATTTTGAATAAACTGTAGTAAATAAGTACTTATTTTAACAAAACTCACCCAACTTGATACTTTCAATTGAGATAAACACTCCAGGACCGAACTTCCCTTTTCAAAATAATCTTATTGATACTAGACACGTAACAGAAGGCGCCATTGCCGTTTGAAACCTGTTCAATGCGTCTATAGCCTTTGCCTGATACCACTGAAACTCATGTCAGCATCAATCTGATGTGAGACAAGCGCGGGTGCGATTGGGTGCATTTATCAAATAAATAATCCTAAAATGTGTTATTCAAACTGGAAGACAATAATAAATGGTGCGTTCACTTACCCTGTCATTTTGTCAGCATTTGATGGAAAACCGCAAGTTGCCAACTTCCAAGAACATGAGTTTAGGAAATTTATCACTTGGGTTCTACGCAAACATTCGAGTTTAGAGAACAAAGGTGCAAAATTTATCGATGAATAGTATAATTTGGTTTATGTGCTGGATTCAAGAAGTTGAGCTTATTCCTATTTCGAAATTTGTTAACTTTAAAATTTCGCGATTTTCACTTTTATTTATTGATCACACTACATTCGGAGACTGTTTATTGGTTAATTTATTCCGCATTTTGCATAGATTGGTTAAAAATTCATGAATCAAAATTAAATAAAACAAAGAAACAACATTAATCATAGAAATAATCTTATAAATCACATTGAGATTTCTTTTAACCACATGAAATAAGATTCAAACCATGAAATTTAAACAATATAATATTTTGCAGTGAGTGCGGATTGACAACTGAATTTCAGCAAAATAGACTTCACATTGATCCATTTATATTATTGACATGGGGTGTGCGATAGACTTACCTCCACGTAGTGCACCCTGGGCAACGTATACTCATACGGCAAAAAAGTCTATTAACTGGCAGTCGACCTCTGACTTCAAACTACCATGACCCCACTGTATGTCATGTTCGACCCCTTCACAGTACTCATCTAGCCTTTTTTCTGCCTTTGTGTCTGTCTGTCTTTTACATCTTTGAATCGCTCTTCTTTTCCCCCGTCGGATTCTTCTCACTTCAATGTTCCTCCCTTCTGTGAAGCCCGAAGTTAACTAAAGAGCTAGCCTCTGTGAAGCCCGAAGTTAACTAAAGAGCTAGTGATAACTATCAAAATGCCTGCCATTTGAAATAAATAAATAGATATTATTGACATTGAAATCTCTACGTCTTTGGCTATATTGGATTAATTTTTGTTCTGCATCGCATTGGTCATGGATACTACCTACCACATATATACATATCATTAACTAACGAAACGCAAAGGGTGTCTTGGTCGACAACGCTTGACCTATATTATAGGATATGCTTTCTTACTTTTCTATGGGGCAACTGTCCGCTTTCCTGCATTCACGATATAAAAAATAGAAGAATTTGTTTGTATAATCCATTGACAACATTTATATGTAAGCATGTTATGCTTATTTCAAAAAATATTTACTTAAATTTTTCTGCATCGAATTAATGGTTTTAAATGTTTCCAGGAGTTCCCCAATTACTTCAGAAATTTTAATGAAAAATGGCTGAAATCATGCTATATTTTTTAAATATCAACTTTTAAAGATTAGATGACATTCTCGATTTACATTTTTATTAGTTTATGCATTGACCTTCAATGCGTAAAGCCTTGGAGTCTGCGGCTATTGGTTCTCCAGAGCTGAGATTTTTAAACGTCGACTATGTCGAGCGAATTTTCGTGGCCAAAGTGCATTTTCTTTGGTGATTCATTAACACAGGTACTAAAAATTTTCGTCGTTGGCTAAGCTTTTCTTCAAAATCTATTTCAGAAGCTCAACTGTTTTATATTGAACTTAATGTGAAATTTTTTATTTTAGCGTGGTTATACATTTGAAGGATGCTATCTAAGCATTTTAGCAGCAATATTTCAAAGGTTTGTCGATTTTCGTTATCGTTAAATGTATGCTAAATTCAGACGTGCGGATATAGTTGGACGTGGATTTTCAGGATATACTACCCGCTTGTGCCTTCCATTGTTGAAAGTGCTCTATCCAAATCCCGAATCTCTACAAAATACTGCCTCTTTCTTCATTTTCTTGGGTGCGAATGATGCCAGTTTTGGATCGCAAAAAGTTGATCTCCCAGAGTACAAATCTAATCTTTGTCAAATGATTTCATACTTGCAAGTTAGTGCTTAGCTTACTCCTGTCTGCAACATTTAGAACTTTTCATATATTTTTACCCTAATGACCGATTTATTATTTTCCCATATAGTCTCTTAAATTCGAAAAATCAAAGATTTTTATTATAACTCCACCGCCAGTGGATGAGAACAAGAAGGAACCCGAGTGCTTAGCTTTGGGTAAGTTAAATATTACACTTTGTATTTACATACATGATTTTTCGATCACGTTTTCATTCGTTATCTTTAATTCAAATTATTACAAATTTTGTTTCCACTCTAATTACCGTAAATAGTGTATTAGTTCGTTCTTCTTTTTTTGTTAATTCCTTTATCGTCAACACTGCAAACAAAGTAGTTATTGTGTGATCGACCTTTAAAACCTTCATTTAATTAGCTCATTCACTTTCATTTTTAATTAATAAGCCTCCATTGAAAAAGAGAGCATCAGCTGTAGAGAACGTGGTAAGGTAGAACGATTATTTGCGTTGTTCTTAGTTTTATTTCATTGACATGTTCCAGTTCAATTATTTCGTCATTTTCTGTGATACTGGGTTTATATTAAGCAGAATTTCAGTTTTGTAGTCTTTTGAAACGGCACTTAAAAGCTTATTATATCAGGCCGAAATTGGAATGGAAATGGCAACAGTTTTTTTTACAATGAACTGACTCAACCTCTTATCTTCGTATGAGATAAAGGAAGTGGTCTCCTTGTTAGTTTTTCGGTAAATAATTGTGACTGACGGTCACTAATTAACACCTGCACTTGGAACATTTCCATTCTTTGCTTTCCTTTCAATTTGTCACATGCTTGGGTTTATAGTCCATTACTAAAATATTATCGATTCTCAATTTGATTGAGATTCACAGATAATACCAGTGACTTTTCCAGTGATTAATAGCAACTAAAATAAAGGTAATTTAGCCTGCTTGTCACATGCTACAATTCTTCTAATGAATGGAGAAAGATGTTTTTCTCACTACTTACCTCCAATTGCGTTTATCAGTTTATTTTGCAAATTTGCACTCTCGCAGTTGAATTTACCTGGTTACTGCGGTTTACTTTGTTCAGACTTCCGTGATTATAGTTTTCTTATGCGTTTATACCTGACAGAAGTTCTTATTTGCGTGTATATTTCCTCACATCCGTGAAATGTAAACTTTGCTCTATGTGTTTCTCATTTTACAACTCGAATTTAGGAAAATAGTGCAAAGTTTGTCTTAATTTTTTTTAGGGTTTCGTGTCAACACTTTTGAGATTTGTTGGTACATTTAACTCCTGAAGTAGACTACACGATTTCTTAATCCACATGCATCAAAGCTGACCTTCTACTATGTGTAACATCTCCAGAAAATTGGGTGCTATATCCTTTTTATCTTGTTGCTTAATTAATGCTGAATTGCTTTACTTCCAGGTAGACCATTTACGAGGACTTTTGAAAACGCTAAGAAGTATGCCGAGGCCTGTCTTGAAGTGGCCAAGGAGACGGGTGTTGCTTGCGTGAACATATTCGCCGCCATCGCCGCTCAAGAGGTAAATGTAAACATATGCTTGCGTCTTAATCGTAAATATCATACCCAATTGGGTGGATACTTGGATCTAAGAAACCATCTTATGGGACCCCTTTTGTCAAGTCAGATTCAGTAGGACGGAATCTCGTCGGTGCACATTAATTGAAGTTGGTTTATTAATCACCAAGAGATATCTGAAATGACGGAATTTACCCAAGTGTTGTTATCTTTACAGTTGTGGCACTTTTATACACATCCCGGTGCGAATAACGATGAAGATTGTTGAGTCATGGTAACCCTCCCCCCCCCTGTTCTTGATCTTCTGCGTATTCTGAATAAATGCCTATCATGAAATACAACTCAGAGAATCAAGTCTAAATAAGTGCAATGATCAAGGATTGTGGTTAGGAATCAAATAGATGGAGTGGTGTGCTTGCCTAAATTAAGGAAGTAAGTTATGAATTATTTGGTAATGAAGGATGGCTGGATCAGAGATCAGTACTCCTACACTGACGCATCAAGAATAACCCTGGGCATTACGCAATAACGATTCTATCGATTTACGAAGTAAAATAAGTTACTCTTTCATTCGCTTTTTGTGTACTATTCAACTCGATCAATTCTTTTAGTTTTCATTTGTAGCATTTTCAACCCATCTTGAGCAAGGTATTGTGATATGTCATTCATCATATATTCGACTGTCTTTTGATTTTATTGAAAAATTGTAATCTGTATTAAATTTAGGACACCGCGTATGTCTTAGGAAATCTACTTCGCTTATTATTCAGCTAAAAGTACGAAATACAGGTACTGAAGCCACAGTCCCTTTTTGTGCCTAACTGGAATAGATGTATTCAGGTACTTCCATTCCTTCAGATTTTGAGGGAGTGGGGTTCATCGGGTCTGGCAAGTTAACGGTTTTTGGATTTGGGTATATCTTGGTCCTTACACCCAGTAGCTTAAGCTACTGGGCTAAGTAGTTGTGCCGCGATTTTAGCATTGTCGAGACTCTTGATAGGGAACTTGCTCTTGGCCAAAAATAGCCGGTCAGGTCATTCACAAATTGTGCACTTTTGTAGCTTCTCAATTAGCTTTTATGTCTCCTACAGGTAGATACCCGAAGAAGAGGAAAAGAGGGATTTGTAGCTCAGGTGGCTGTTATTCATTTAGTAAAATAAATTGACTTCTATGGGCTTGAGTTAGTTGTCAGGTTAGCCAATTATTGCAGCGATAATGGCTTCAGTGGCGGTCTCACATGTGCAGGTGCGAGCGCTAGGATATTAACCGGAGGTTATTCCGAATATTTAATTAATTCCATTTAGTTGCCTTTTTTCTACTTTAGAATTGGAAAGATTACTTGATCGACGGTCTGCACTTTTCTAGACAAGGTGGATTGTTTTGTGCAGAAATATTGGCTAACATTTTGGAGAATATTCTTTCACAGAAGATGAATTTCCCTGACTGGCAAGACGCCTTGAAGTTGGACCTCAGCAAACCCTTCCCACCCCAATAACTCGCTCACATGTTTTCTTCCTGCTTTATTGATTGTCAATAAGATTTGTATTAATTGAATTATCGTTCTACTGCAGTGTTTTTAGTCTCTTGATAACTTAAAACCTAAGCCTTAGCTTGTTGGTGATGTAGTGGTTTGAAAAGTGCCTAAACTTCACCAAATGAAGCAAGTGAAACTTGATTTTTCAGGCTGAAGTGCATTCTTCGGAATTACTTAAATTTTTAGTCTAATTCACATATTTGACACGTTTTACCTCTCTTCATTGTTCTTTCGCTTTCCTGCCCCTTCCAAGGAATATCATCTTGAAATTACGAATCCTATTCTCTCTTTGCATGCTGGTGTATGGAATTAATTATAAACACGTCAGCTTCCTTTCGAGCCCATTCTCATCTTTTGCTCTGTTCTAATTTCCTGGAATTGTTTATCGGAGGTGCAGAAGCCCTTTAAAGTGCTCAGCTTGCGGCAAATACAGAGCTATAACTACTTAGAACCCAGGAAAAAAGAAAAGAACCATTACTTAAATGACGGTTTTCAACAAAGGAGATTTTGATTATTTTGAATTGGATTTACAGTGAATGTTTGTCTTGTAGTCTTAGTGGTCGCAAAATCTAGAATTCAAGAATCATTTTGGCTCAATTAAACTTCCTCAATTGACACTAAATTTTTCAGAGCGACACCCATGTGAAGAACCTAATTATGAGCGTAGACATTTGATGATCAAAACTCTAGTGCAACAATTGGAATCAAAGTTATGAGTTGTTTGTGTACATGCAGAATATTGCATCAGACTTCCTAACAGCTGGCTTCATCTAGTGTACCGCAATTTGACATCTGTTTGGTTACGATCGCACTTTCTCGTTCTTTCTGGAGGTCAAAATGGCCTGTTTCTCTCCTCGTTTTGAAGAGATGGATGTATCCTATTGGCTTTAAAGTAGATTATCAACTTTGCATTGGCGATTATCGCATTCATGGCGTCAAATCCACGAACTTGGACTGATGTAAAGTTGCGAAATGTAAAAGACTTTAGGCAAGCACAAATCCATCATTTTGCAAAGCTCTATTAGATGCTTGGTTAATTACTAAGTTTAGTCAGTTACAATGGGTGAAGCATTCCAGAGTTCCGAGGAAGTTTCCTCCTTATTCTTTGCGAAATTGCAAAGAGGTATTCAAAGAAAGACCTCAGTGATGCGGAAATATTTTCATTGGGTTTAAGGAACAATAGCAACTTCCCTCCAATGTTGGGTACTCAAACAGTGGAGTAGTTTATTTAACCAATCATTTTTAAAGTTAAAATTTTTAGGTACAGTCTAGATTTAGGGAATCTTTAATTTGACTTCAAGTGTGCGCTTCGTTTCATCTTGTATGAATTGTAACAGAGCATTGGAGATTTCATCTTTTAGCTGGAAAAATTATTTTTCTTCTGCGAGTTTTTAGTTTTTCTTGTTTTTAGGTGCACCGCGCTCCCAGGCATTTACCAGTGAGGTAGGTTGTGAGGTCCTCTACTGCCCCAAACAGTTATTACAAAAGCAGTAATTCATCTTTAATTGGAGACATTTTACTACAATTCTGCTAATTACGTGATGTCTGAATCAAGTGAAACTTTAACAACACAGTGGTAGCAAAAGACGTTAAGTAAATAGAGAAACGCTTTCAAGTAGTTTACGTCTACCAGTCTACTTCATGGGGGTGTTCAAGTTAATGGAACCGCATCGATAGTTCTTTGGCTCTTAATTATAATCATCTATTAAACCATTCTAGGGTCGCTTTCATTTAATACCTGTACAAAAAGCCTGTAAGTAAATTTTTTTCAATCTACTTCCAAGATTTAAGTGATCCAATTAACTTTTTGAAGGTTAGGTAGCTCCTTAATTGTAGAATTCCTTGAAAATGGAGAGCTTAATTGGATCATAATTTCCTCCGATGATTTCCATTAGAGTTGTTTATTGGGTATTGGGAATGTCAGAAAGGCTTTTAAGAATTTTTCAAATATCCAAAATAACCAAGAGTTTTAAAATGGATATTTCTCTGTTCACAATAATGACATTAAGCTATCTTTCTTAAAAATTAGCACTGTACTTGAATATTTCTAGTAGTAGGGTTAATGTAAAGAAAAATTTCGTTCTGTCCGATTGTACTTTGAAATGGAAGTCAACCTTGCTACTGTGTGGAAATACGAAGACAGTTTATGAGTCAGTTGGGGAAGGACATGTGTAGAGATTTTAGGGCTGATGGACTTATGCATGAAACGGGGCAGTAAGAGTGCAAGATGCGAGATTGGCCTTGAATAATTTCGAAATTGCCAAGGCAGTCATTCTTCACAAATAAATGAACATTTTATTTTAGAAAGTTTCAATGATACATATAAAACTAAGCGTTTCAAATTTAAGAAAAAAGAAACATGGTTATGACAACATCAAACTACAGCCACTTTAAAATAATATCAACTGGAATAGCACAATCAATTACTGTCAGACAGCAAGGTAGATGTAATGAACCACATTGTCATCGATTCAGATGTTGCCGAACCCTTAAAGCTTAACTAAGTTGCATTGTTATTGTCGGGTCGCTGACCTTAGAACCTTACATAATCTCGCTGTCTTTTGCATCCCGTCAAAATTAATTTTCAAGCGACGGTGTGGGAAAAACTAACCAGTTATATGAAAGCTCCAGGAGTTCAAATGTTAACAAATGCGGTAATTTAATGACAAAATGTACGTAATTCAATTGCACAAGAATATATTCAGGTCAATATAAGTAGTTAAAGACTCTAGACAACGTATTCTTAGAACGCGTAGACTAATGCTTATTCAGTATCCGAATTTCAAATGGACCTTTGTGTATTAATTTCATAAAAAGTGGTTAAAAGTGGAATTACTGGTCGAGTTATTTGGAAAGGATTGAGCTCTTGATCGCCTTGTAAAGCTGGTGTATTGTGGTAAGCCTAAATAAGGTAAGGAAGTAGAGGGTGAATGGAAATGGAAAGCAGAAATGGGAACCATGGAGCGTTGGAGGAAGTGATCATTTGGCTGCAATGGCCACAACTGAATTTGTGGCTTAGTGTATTTTGAGTTCAAACTTTTCGTTGGCCCACTCTACTTGCTATGTGAGTGACAGGCCTGTTGGTGTTGATAACTTCGTAATCAAATAATCATTGTAAATGTTAATTCCTCAACAGTATTCTTTAAGACAGAACAAGTACATTCATGCAGTTGGACGCAAGCAACAAACAAACCTTTATTAAACTGTATTCAGCTGTAAATGATAGAGAGAAATTGCGAAGGATGCATTCAGAGACCAGTTGAGAGTACCTTGGGTTTCAAGAAGTTTGGTACAGTAGTAAACATGATTGATATCTTCACTGGTTCATAAGATATGCTCAAGTAGTGAGACAGGCGAGCAGAAGATACCCCCTTCTCCAATCTATTGAATCACGTTTGCATCTTAATTCATTCGACTTGATGAGTTTTAAAACTGAATTTCAGGTGCTGGACACATTTACTTTTTTCACTTTCATGTTTCAACGTGAAGTTTTAAATATTTATTTCTTAATATTTACTTGCAGCTTTATTGGCATTTAAATGTTAAGTTTCACAATGTCATAACACAACCTTACGATATAGTTAGCTCAACTCTCAACATAAGGAGGTCAGATAATTAATGGCAATTATATATTTATTTGTATTTTTTCAAGAATATTTCATGTAAATACAGAAATTGCTTAGGGCTTATCAAGTACTAGGACTAAATGTTTCTTGATCCTAATGTCGCTAATTTTTGAGCAACTTCTAACTTTATTTGAAGTTGTCGTTAGTGCCTGTTAATGGTGTACTGCTGTTCAATGCAACGGTGAAGCCCGATTGGACCAAATTTTTCCTTTACCTGATTCAATTCGTAGTAAATAACATTAGTCGAGTAGGTCTTCGTGTTAGTCAACAATTTTATCACCTAAAAGATAGTTATTAAAAAAAACGTTTCGCGGAATGATAAAATGGTTCTGCGCGAAATCGAAGTATCTACCCTCTCATTAGCATTGATGAGAGGAGATCCAGTCATCAACCAGCATTAGGCATCTAAAAATCACAATTTTCTTTGAACTAAGTGAAGTGACTTCCAAGGCACTCCGAAGTGCTTTTTCGTAGTATTTGACGTGGATTATTTAATTTATACCATATGTTTACAAGAAGGGGAGCGCGATAGACTTACCTCCACGTGGGGCACCCTGGGCAACGTATACTCATGCGGCCAAAAAGTCTATAAACCGGTAGTTGACTTCTGACTTCAAACTACCATCACCCCACTGTATGCCATATTCGACTACTTCCACAGCACCCACCTCACCTTTTTTCTACCTTTGTGTCTGTCTCTTTTACATCTTTGAATCTCTCTTCTGCTCCCCCTCTCGAATTTTTCTCACTTTGATGTTCCTTTCCCTCTGTGAAGCCCGAAGTCAACTAAAGGGCTAGTGACAACCATCAAAACGCTTGCCATTTGATATAAATAAA